TAATATGAACAACATCCGGTGTATAAAATTGTGTTATCAAATGCCCAAAAGTAGAAGAAGTTTATTTGAATTTAGTAAAAGATTCTACAATCCATTTGCACAGCCTAAATCGTGAGTCTAATTTAAATACATACTTAAATGGTATATTATTTTTACATAGTTGAGTAAATTTATTATTCTTAACATGGCCTTGCTGAAGTAAAATCCTGACAAACTTGAGGTGTATTAGAGACTTTTTCCTGGTAAGGTTTGGAGGCAAATTTTGCTTGGCCTTAGGAGGAAGAATAAAATGGTTATCTTGACAAGTCTGCTTGATGTAAGATCAGATATTGCATAAATCAAGCTGATACTTGAAATATTAAAAAAATCCTCATATCTATAAGTCTAAATATCTAATGAGTTCTTTTGCTAATGTTTTATTACCATGTTGCCATTTATTTGACGTTTGGGCTTGCAGTCGGTTTATAATAATTAACAAGCACTTTATCTTATCTAGTTTAGAATACCTTTACAATTTTTTTATGTTTCATATCAGCAATTTGTAAATAATAATGTTTTTATTGAAAAAATAAACATATTATTACACCAAGCGGCTGTTTAGCGAATTATTACATACATAATATAAATTATTTTTTTACATGATTGTGTTTACATTGAAAGTTAAGGTGAGAACTTGTTAATATAACATAGTTTCAAAAGATTTTGCTAGAATCATAAATCACATAACTTTCTTAATTTACTAACTGATTTGCATCGATCATGAATTTTCTCAAGGCATTCTAAGAATACTTAGACAGTTAATTTCGTGGTTACAATGAAGCAAAAAACTAAAATATTGCTCAGTGAATCTGATCATCCATATCAAGTTCAGATTAATTAGAAATCAATTACCGTTACAAATTTTTATGGCCAATTTAAAAACTTATGAAGTGTCAAGTGCAGTGGCGTGACGTTTATGATTTGATAATTTCTGCATGTTATGTAACTACCGTATAGGTGGTTTTGTCAAGGTCAGGTTCTCATATGGAAAATTATGTCTAGATTATACCAATTAGTTAGATTTTCTAAACATCTCAACAAAAAAAAAGCTACTATAAATTATGCATCAAAACGCCCCCTATAAGAAAACAACGAGAAGTTAATGTGATCTAAACTTTTCATTTACTATTTTTGAAAAACAAACAGTTTCTTTAATAGCAAATAATATACCGACGAAAGAAGTAAATGTCCAGTTAAAACTTCGAAATTAAATATTAATCGAAACCATTATTTCATACGTATATTTTCATTCAATTGTTTAAACAACCTTATTTAACTAACACCAACTTAAAAAATTGTACTCTTCCATTATCTAAAAAATTTACTCGTGTTTACTATTAGACCCAACATATATTTTAAGTGGTTTTGTTATTGTGAAGTAGATATTAAAGATCTAAAGATTTTGCTAATGCCGTTATCACTATGCATTTCTTCGAATCTAATTATTAAAAAAAGCAAATCACGAATGAAAAAACTTCTTTGAAGAACGTTGTTTACATTATAACAAAATGTTACACAGATAAGACAACATTATTGGAACAAATTTCCCACTGACTAACTAAAAAATTGTGTAAGAGTAGGTACGCGCCTCTAGTAATGTGTCGGTTGTACAAAGTGTCGCAGAAAGTTGGACCATAGACCTGGGATTTATCGTCCGGGCGAATTAGGTTTTTTATTAAAAATCGGGCCTTATTAAGTCGAATTTTATGGGCTTAAAATTCAGTAAAAAATACACAGAACAAAAACCTATATTTGTGTATTTGCAGAGGTCGAGCGTCATATTGTTTATAAGCAACGAAAAAAATTGTTCTTTTTTCAGTTTGTCGCTTATATCTCCGAAAATAAGCCTCTAATCGATATGAGGTATACTTACCGATTTTGTTCCTGAGGAAATTTGCTACAATAATACAGTAATTGAAGCTGAAAATCAGCTGTAACCTTCGAATTCTTTGAAACTGCATGGATTTGCATGAAAATTTAGAATAAGGCTCATCTTAGGCTCAAGTTCAAAAGTGACCTAAGCCCGATTGACGCTTTTTGTTTTTTAGGGGGTAAAAACTACCCCTAAGTGAAAAAATTGAAAAATTAAGTTTTAAGCATTTTATTGATAAAAATCTTGTTCAAGCACAAAAATTAAATAATGTTCCATGTTCTCGAACATGTTTTATGATATATTTGATCTGTTCGACCCTTTATTTAACCCTTAACAACTACTCCCATGCAAAAAATAATGATAAAAAATTACTTTTTAAAGATTTGGAATGATTAAATCGTGCAATTATTTAAAATAAAAGTTACCTTACAGCTAATAAAAGAATTTTTCCCTTTCAACCCCTAAAAACCACCCCTGTATTGACAAAAATAATAAAAAATTACTTTTTAAAAGCTTGGAATGCTTTAACGGTGCAATTATTTAAAATAAAAATTGCCTCATTGCTTATGAAAGAATTTGTATCTCTAAAAAAAATATAAAAAATTACGTTATAAATCTTGGAATGCTATAATTGTGCAATAGTTTAAAATAAAAATTCCCTTATATTGTTTATACACGCTGACGCGCATTTGAATCCTAACATTTTGCTCCAAAAATGAAAAAGCCTATTTTAATCCGAAAAATTGTCATTGGTTTTTTTTACCATAACTCGGTTAATTTTGAAGCTATAGTATCCTACAAAAAAGCATTTTAAAGATAATTTCAAGAGCTGTAAGCTTTGCATATAAAACCTTTTAAGTCCTTCGTTTTTTAAAGGGAAAGGATCGAAGGGCTCGAGACGGGTCGTTTTTTCACTAAAATAGATACTTCAAGCGGCGATATCTCCTTTATTTTTTATGCTACATGAATAAAAAAATAAAATATTAGTTGAAAAAAAGCTACATTTTTGTTGTGTATCATTTTTTTACGTATCTTTCATAGTTTCAGAGTTATTATATAAATAAGGCAATTTTTTTTGAATAATGAAAAATACGTTTTCAACTTTTACCGTACATTATTCAAAAAATACGCATTCTAACCCGGTCTAACTTCGTATGAAAAACACTAAAACAAAACTAATATTAATGGGTCTACAATTAATTTTAATTCTGATGGAAATGGTACAACGTTTACTGCTCATTTTTCTTTGAAAAAAATGAGCAACCCATCTGTTTTTGACGATAATTCCTTCAATTTTGCTCTAATTAACTTTTATAAGTGCTCATTTTGAAGGTCTTTTTGACTACTACAGAAAACTCATGGAGCGTTATACACGTAAAAGTAATCTTTTTCCCGTTATTTGACGTTGAATATACATCGATTCGAGTATTCCCACCAAAACAAGTCCCCTTCCACTAACTATATTTCGCTTTGTATAGGACGTACAAAACTTAAAAAAAAAACGATTTTCTTTGTTTATTTATAAGCTACATATTTGTTCATTACACTTTTTTCAAATAAAATGCGTAGTTTTTGAGTTATTCGCGAAAAATACTTTGAAAGTGTTTTTTTTCACTCAAAATTACAAGTGTTCAATCGTGAATAACTAAAAAACTATTGATTTCTAGAAAAAAATTATTCCAATATTTTTTGCTCAAAATTTGATTCTCTATCGATTTCCAGCGTTATTTTTGAAAAAAATTTCAACCCCCAACAGGGTGGAAGCGTCAATCGGCGCTATGTCACTAACGTTCATTGACCTTTTCTCTAACTATCTGCCAAATTTCAAGTCGATCGGTTCAGTTTCAAAGAATTCGGAGGTGAAAAACTTCAATGACTATACTACAAGGGTATAGGCTTTTGTAAAAGCTCGAAAAATTTTTCTACATTGCAAAATTTGCGGTGAAAAAAAATGTGCAAAATTTTCAGAATAAAATGAACAAATTTGACTGAATTTGGATAAAATTACAGGAAAAGATAACTGTCCGGACCCCCAATTTCAAAATAGCGGCCTATTGCTAAATTATAAAGTTCATTTAAAAACAGAAGTCAATTTCTAGGAAAAAAATGATCAGAAGAGGCCAACGTATAAAATATTGTCTGAAAATTAACTGTTACAGTTATTGTGTAAATTATGTCTAGAATATTATTGAATGTTACTTTATTTAAATGTCCTTGGAATGTTACAATATCAATATTACATGTAAGTACTGCATTTTATACTATTTAAAAGAACTGTTACGTTAATTTTACCATATTATGAAATTAATTTCCAGAATCTTTAACAGTTAATTATGTATTTTTGTAATTGTGCCTAATAAATTTTCTTTCCTTTCTTTTCATCATTTCACAGTCTACTTCGATACAAATATGTAGTTATTTGATTTAATTTTGGCTTGTAGTCTCTAAAATTTCAATGTCGTGTATACTAAAATGGTTGAGTTTAGCGACTTTTACCAAGTATACCTTTTTTATTTAGAATTGATCTAGCTCCCCCTAGAAGTGACACATTTATCATATTGGTAATTGTCACCTTAAAAATCATTGTTTGCGCAAATTTCCAAGATAATCTGTTCAGAGATACCCAAAATATTCCGGAGAATTAAGAATGTTTTATTGACTTTAACATCCCGTAGAACGAAAAGCAGCGATATTCGAATAAGACATATTATAGTTGAACGTCATAACTTAACGTCGAGATGTCCGATTATTATTAAATCACCCTGTAGATATAAAGACTATAATATAATCTATACTCTTCGCCAATTAAGACGGTCTATAGTGTACTCAAAACGTATCCGGAAATAACTCTATTTTATTTCTAAGGATGTAAATCCCACTCATCAGAAATTCCGAAACGTTCGATTATGAGAACGGACGCGATGAATGCGAGCCGGCGCGCCTTGCGCCTCGCGATCACCTGTTCGCGGCTCCCCCACCTAGGCGGCGGTGACGTAGCGACGCCGTGCGTCGTCAGCTGACGGCGCGCGCAGGCGTCCTCCCCTGATTCAATACATTTCCACTCATATATATATTTTACTCGTTCCAGCGGGCCGCAAATCGCCGGCAAACAGAACAGTGTTAGTGAAGGTAGACACCTGAAAATGGAACTGGAAAGGGACCGCCTGGGCTTGTGGGGCAGCGGCGACAACGTTACACTAGGGATGGCCAGCGGGATAGACCGGATAAAGCACCCCGGACTGAACAAGGTAGGTTCCGGTTTTTTGGGAATTTTCCACGCCCGGCCGATTGTGACTTGCTTGTCGCTTGTGTCGGGCGCTTTGAAGTCTCGATTGTTTAATAGAGCAGTCTACTAGATGGCTTACGGAAACTTACGAGTATTAGAATTGGATTGTTTTGTCATTGCACAGATAATGTCACGTACACAGTGACCCACTATTGTGTGGGTTAAGCAGGACACTTTTTTTATTTGTAAATTTATGCTTCACAAATTATAATTCAATCAAAATTTTACGGCATTTTCTTGTTCCATCATGAAATCGTGCCTGTATTGTAGAAAATATTTGTTTTATTAGATATAAGGTGTCAAAAAAAAAATATATTTTATTTCAGTTTATTGACCATATATCAGGAACTGTTTGAGATACAAAACTCAAATTTTGTACATTAGTCCAGGCGATATCTGTTGCGGGTTGGGTAAAATTTTGCTTTAACGGCTTCTAAATAAACACCAGAAATGATAATATTTCTATACAAATAAAAAAAAACGTGGGCTTAATTGTTATTGCAAAAAAGTATAAAAATAGCAAAAAAATTCATTTTTTTCTTGGATTTCTCGGCGACAACTTAGCAACTATTCGTTTTAGACAAAAATGGAAGAGAAAAAAAGGTTTTTTAATTAAATTTTGATCAAGATATAGTTAGTTGCAATTCGAAAAAATAATTATTGTTATTGCAAAAATCGGAAAAATCATTTAAAAAATTGCAAAAAATGCTAGTATATTTTTCAATTTTTTTCAGACACGTGTATAATACCTAGGATCTTCATACTTTTCCCAATTAAACTTCTTAGTGCATAGAATCTTCACACCAAATTTCATCCATTTCGGTTCGATAGTTTTTACATAATACATAATTGTTTAATTTTTTTTAAATTAAAAAATGTTCAAAATCGAATTTCTAAAAATCTAAAGCCTTTGAATACTTGAAAATTTCACCACAAAAAGAAGAGCTCTCAAGCTTTAAAATGATTTTTGAAAAATTCAAATCGGACGATTAGGTGAGCCGTGGTGATTGTATCCTCGTCCTGGAACTGCAAAATATCATTTTCTAACGATTCTGAAATCTGATTGTCGAGTTCACTTGCACTTTCTTCTGATATGTCTTCTTCAAAATCGATTTCGAACTCGTCTAGTTCCACTGTTTTGTAAGCATTTTTACACATTTGCCCTTGGCAATGGGTGCAATACTCAGACCATTTTTGAATTCGAGAATTCAGATCGGACTAGCTGTGTGTTTGCTCCTTCCACCACTGATACCTTATTGATTTCACGCGGTCTTGAATATCTTTGAGTGACATTTTAAATGGGACGCCCGTGATTGCAAATTTTGAAAATTTATATCTGGAAACTACTCGGAATGACAAACCTATTAGTTCAAAAAACAGTCCTTATACCCTTATAGTTTTGTTGTAAATAAGGGTTAACTTTAACGGGCTATAACTCCAAAAATAATGGGCGGATCATCAGTTTTTTTTTAAATACTCGTCTTTCCGAGTACTTTCAAACCATATTTTAAAATAAAAAAAAATAAAATTGAAAAAAAAATTTAATTATTGCAATTGTTTATAAGCGTGAAAATTGGGAAAATGTTTAAACAATCACTACGGCTCACCTAGTCGTCCGATTTGAATTTTTCAAAAACCATTTTAAAGCTTGAGAGCTCTTCTTTTTGTGGCGAAATTTTCAAGTATTCAAAGGCTTTAGATTTTTAAAAATTGGATTTTGAAAATTTTTTAATTTAAAAAAAAATTTTGAACAATTAGGTATTATTTAAAAACTATCGAACCGAATTGGATGAAATTTGGTGTGATGATTCTATGCACTAAGAAGTTTAATTGAAAAAAGTATGAAGATCCTAGGTATTATTCAAGTGTCTGAAAAACATTGACAAATAAATTAGCATTTCCTGCAATTTTTTTAATGATTTTTCCGATTTTTTGCAATAACAATAATTATTTTTTCGAATTGCAACTAACTCTATCTTGATCAGAATTTAATTACAAAACTTTTTTCCTCTTCCATTATTATCTAAAACGAATAGTTGCTAAGTTGTCGACGAGAAATCCAAGAAAAAAATGATTTTTTTGCTATTTTTGTATACTTTTTTGCAATAACAATTAAGCCCACGTTTTTTTTATTTGCATAGAAAAATTATCATTTCTGATGTTATTTAAATGCTGTTAAAGCAAAAAGCTCCGATCATATGCGTTTTACCCAAGTACATATACCCTTTTTAAAACAGATACCGCCTGGACTACATGTATTATCGTTAATAGGTATCTACTTTTGAGCGCTAATTCAATTCTTACTCATATAACAGTGACGGAGATTTTAGGACCGCATAAGCTTCTCTTGCCCCTAATTTTTACGACTCTGAAAAAATTGGTATTTTGAAAGCATATACCGCCAATATTTGCTACACAAAAAAGGTACTCGTAATCAAAAGCTCTAACCCGAACCATTTTCAAGATAAATGGCGTTTTATGATGGAAAACATGACACGTGTTTTGAAACACCCTGTAGAACAGGAAGGTGCGGTAAAATTTTATGATAATCTAGTAACGAGCTAAAATCAATTAATTTTATCTAAATGACATTTATTTACTAAGTTACGAGAGTATAAATGGGCCTAAATTATTTAACTGGATATGGAACGGGGTAATTATTTTTTTATAAACGAACTTAGCGACATTTTTGGATATTAACATTTTTACTTTGACTAAGTTCGTTTTGAATTTTTTTCTAAAAAATTGAATAGCTTACGCCTATATAGAATCAAAAAAATTATATTTTTAATGATATAAGAACAAGCAAGAAATTTTATAAAGAACGATATTCTTGTAAATTTACTTGTAAGTAAAATGGTTAAAGGTTGTGTTTCCTGTTTGAAATTGCAACAAATATAAATAATTAGAACCAAATCAAACTGCTGTAATAAGGAAAAAACAACAAATTTCATAATTTTATATTGCACAAGTAAGTGCTTTTAGCAGCCCCGCTTGATGTTAAAAGTTTGCAACAAATATTATTAGAAGGATTTTTGAAATTGTATTGAGGACACTTTTAAATTAATCTTTATAAAAAAATAATTTTCGTTCAGATTTCAAAAAAAAAAAAATTATCTAATGGCCAATCATAATTTTTATATAGGTACATATTATATTGAAATTTTGTTAAAAACGTTTTAAATGCTGTTTTCTTAGTTATAACCAACTGATAGTTTGTTTCTTTTCTTCGTTTTCTCATGAACAATTTAAGATTTTCTTTTAACTAAAGTATATTTATTTTACTTTTCGTTTTTTTGTTATTGAACTCTACTAATTAGAGATCAATCATTCCCGAATATTATAATTTTATTAAATACATTATTTTTACAATCATTGAGATTTATTCCAGCAAAGCATATCTGGATACTGGATATTATATTTGGAATAGATATCAGACGCCCACCTTTGTGAGATGCGAAATTCGATTGGATTCTATTAATATAAAGTCAATACTTATCTTTAAATTTTTAGAAAAAAACACGCATTTTTCAATACATTCATCATATAATCATAGATAACAATTTTTTTTGTGGATCTGCACATTAAATTAAACATTATCTTTTGAAACAGTGAGAAGCTTTGTATCCGAGTGGATTTTTATAAATACAAGAATTTTTCTGCTCCAAAAACACAATAAAAGTACGTGTTTACTATAAAAATAATTTATGCGTAGAAATGTGTGGAAAACTATCAAAAACAGCCATATGTATGTTTAACAGATAAATTTTATTAAACTGCTTTTGTTATTAAAGGATTCTATATACGTACAATTTATATTCAAGTTAAATATAGAAACATTTTGGAAGTCTAGGGATATACATATAAATATTGAATGAGAATAATATGGATTGGAGAAAAATAGTCGATCTTCCAAGTATTTATAACCACGTTTGTAACGATGACAGCATCAGCGAAGATAAATAAAACCAGTGAAATAATTGATACAAGATTACATAAGAATTAGTACGTTAACGTATTGTGTCTTCTTAAAACCGTTTGAGAGAAAAGGACTGGTATACACTATACAAAATGGTTCAGATTCAATCGAAAAATGTCTTCAGACAGACAAATTAATTTAAATATTTCATTTTCTCAAATACCCCTGACAATTTTTAACGTAGGCTGACGAAATTTGCGCCAATGGTTTATCTAATCAGAGAAAAAATCACTCAATTATCCTACGAATATGTCAACAAGTGGCATATTGAGATAAAGTAAACGTCCTCAGATGTTTGAGAAAATGTGATGTATATTTATTTAAATTTCAACATACTGTTTTTCGAAAATGACTTTTTCATATGAAACTTCATATATTCTTCATACTGTATACACATATTTAAAATGCCTCATATTATGTAACTTGCGGAAAATAAAATTAAAAATAGTAACAAATAACTGAATACACTTTTCAAATCTTGGAAACTGTCATATTTATTCATGACTATTTTAGAATATAAGAAGATATAATCGGACACCCAGTATACTAATAATTTTGTTTTGGTACAAATTTTTCCGTCTGGTGTAGATAATATAATGACTTGTGTATTTGAAATTGGTAAACACTAGACAACCACAACAATGAGCTCAAAGTTCTGAATTCTCCTGAACTTTGGACATCGTGAATTAATTTCAACCTCGGTGTAATTGTATGCCGTTTCCTTTGGTCTAAGGCGGCCGCCGTTATTGTTAACAATTTCTTTATGAATTAAACAGTTGGCCGATGATTAAATGCGCTACGTTAACTGCCGGTAATCACGTTTTTCTTGAATTTCGAAATTTCTAAGATATATGTAATAAGAATAATACACGTGAATATTTCTTTTATTCTTTTTAATAATTTATTGTATTGCCACATATTTCGTAATTTAAATCTTAATAGTCAGTTATGTTACTCATACTTCTTTCCAGTCAGTTTTAAAT